CTTGGAATGGCGTCACCCAAATCCAGTCTCGCCCTAAGCTTTTTATTGAAAAAATTGTCGCCGTAGGGCCAAAGGCTCACCCCAGTGATTACACATAATAATAGCTGGACGACTGGGGTTTCTTCGGAAGTAAGCGCGCCATTTTGGCAAGCCATGCCATCAATGCTGCGTTACCCTGCAGTACAGGGGTCTCGCAATATGTTGATAGAAGCGTGAGCCTGGTGGCCCTACAGCAAAACTCTTTAATGCTGGATGTTAGTATTTCGACAGTCCGAATGGCGTCTGAATGGATTGATTTGCATAATAGCACTATAACAATTTGAAAACTGTAGTGCCTGCACGACTGTGCCGATAAATGCATTGCGCACTCGCTACGTGTCTAGCGCAGCATTGCCTCCGGCTTGGAGATTCGAGGAGGGTGTACCTAGATCTTTTGGCCTAAAGCAATAGAAGACAGAACGATTACTTTTCGTTTCTTAGTGGAAGGTTTTCGCGGCTTGGTGTTTGCACATTAGTCTGGTGATTCGGGAACCTACTGGTTCCACCAGGCCACGGAGAATTGATTTTCTGTCTGTCTTCGTGTTCGCCTGATTTATTATGATACATTGTCACGCGTCCCGCTAAGTCTCTTTCCAATCAGGCAGAAATGTCTGAAACAAACGCTATGTCCTTCTCTTGTACCATCATGGCGCCTTGCCGTTCGAGCGCTGGGGTTTTCTGCTTGCATCACAATATAGAAAGCACGTAACAATGCCAAGCAGGACACCTGAAGTGAAGGCTGCGTTGATCGGAGAGCAGCACCAGAACAAGCACGCGCCGCTTAGAAGGCTGAGCGGCTCGCGGGAACATTTGCTGTCCGTTTACGAAGGCGTTGTCTCCATATCCCACTCGATTTGCATCCTTTGCCAATCGACCCGGATATAAAGGTTTGTGCTTGCTTCTACGGACTCCATCGTGCTTAATGGCGTTGTCATAGTCGTTGAGAGCACGGACTCTTCCTGCTTTACCTTTCATCGCTAAGAGGTTTCACACCGGGCATTCCGCAGGAACCTAGTTGGACAAGAGAAGAATCTACCTCTGCTAAGCTTTTCATGGTGCAAGGAGTACTCTTTGGCCATTTTTGCCATTATAATTTAGAGCTGGACGCAAAGGCGCGTGCACATTAGCACTTGCTTGCCTGAAATTGTTTTACAGCGTTACTAGGGTGAGCCCTGTGGCCCTACGACCACACTCTATCGTGGGCGCAATCTTTTTTGGGCGGAGTAGTTGCCTGATAATATGCTCGTACTTGGTAGGACGTTGTAGTGTCAAGCAGAAGGTCTTTCTGTTTGTTCTGTGTTTTGCTAACTCCTTCGCGTCCAGCGCAAATCCACGTAGCAAGGAGTCAATTGCGCGCGATCTTAAACAGCTTAGTCGTGCTGGTTGCTCCCTTTGATAAGTAGCGTGTCAAGAATTGCTTACCACAAATCATATTTGGGTCCATCGTGTTCAGAAGTGTCCGATGTAGTCAATGCGATGCGCTTTTGATTCGTCCAAGGTCGCATACCTACTTAACAACATTTTTATGTTAAGGTAATGTCCAGAGGCATGCAAAAGTTGATGCTGTATGATGCTCTTGTGCTTTGCAAACCCGCAGTGCGTTGCGTAGATATCGCTAACTGTAAATAAAGAAGGGTGCAGTAGAAGACAGCCATGCAACAGTGGACACTGCGAGGAAGTAGATATAATGCGACTGTGACTTCGCACAGAACGAACACAAACAACGACTGACAGGGTACATTCGAAGACTGTGAACTTATAGTAGTGTGCACGATGCACCCCTCATCAGTGAAACCTAACCGCGGGCAAATACAAGTGATATACATGCAAGCTACAAAAAACGATAAAACGGCAACACCAAACGGCGATCAGTTGTACTGGGCTGCCTTCGTACATGTAGTTCTGTGTAGGGGGAGGCAAATTCCGAAATGAGACGCCAGTGCGCTAGAAAGTTGAAATACTCTGCTCGGCCAGTCAGCTGGTTACCATCCATCGCCCAATCAGAGCATCGCACATCAACGTATTGACCAATCACACCCATTTCTTGCACACGGTCGGTCATATGAAGCCGAATACCGATACCCTTATCTGGCCCCGTCCAGTTACCAAAAACAGTAAGAAACCGTCATCCACAGCATCCCGCCAATGCGCCAGCCGGTGCAAACTAACCGTACTACGCCCATCGGCGCCATACATAAACGCCCTCCAAACACATACTCGCTGCGCTCGTCTCTGCCGCTAATCGGCTCGCGCTTTGAGCAAAAAGTAGACTCGCTCCGCTCGTCTTGCTGCTTCGCGGCATGTCGTGAGAGAGGTGACGCCTCGTGGCCAAGAAAAACCCTAATCGGGTGTCATTATATTTGCTTTCACTATACCGATTTGAGATAATTTGTCCGGCAATGTCCGGATATCAACCTCGGTTGGAAAATGCCCCCTACAACCCAACGAAGCCCGCACGACTGCGCCGACTGGTGCGTTACTTAGCCAAATGCATTGCGCACTACGTGCGCGCACTCGCTTCGCTCGTGGAGCCGCTTCGCGGCCGCGTCGGCTCCGCCTCCGGTCGGTCCGAGCTTGGTGATCCGAGGAGGGTGTACCTAGATCTTTTCACTTTAAGCAATAGGAGATCGCAAGTACTAGCTTCCAATGAGTGTGCTACTAATGTGAGCCCAGTGGCCCTACGGCCACACTATTTTTGGGTGCATCTTTTTTAGTCGAGGTAGTTGCCTGATAGTATGCTCATACTCTGTTCGTCGTTGTAGTGTCAGGCAAAAAGGTCTTTCTGTTTGTTACGAGTTCTGCCAACTCCTTCGCGTCCAGCACAAGACCCGGGTGGCGAGGTGTCAATTGGAGAGGGAGCTACTAGCACGACTAAGCTGTTTAAGCTTAGTAGTGCTAGTAGCTGCTGTGTGATTATCGTGTGCGTTGCGTAGATATCGCTAACTGTGGATAAAGGGTGCTGTAGAAGAAAGCCATGCAAAAGTCGACAGGGCGGGGAAATAAAAGTTATGCGATGGTGCCTTCGCACAGACTGTGGACCAAGAGCAGTGTGCACTCTTCAGAGAAATCTACCTACCGGCAAAAACAACTGATATACGTGCAAGCTATATATACAGATAGAACGGCATCACATGTACAGGGCTGCCTGCGTACACGTAGCTTTACGCAGATGGGGCCTTCCGCGCGTGTCGATCTTGCCGCCTCGAGCGCAAACCCACGCCCATCTGTACCGAGCCGAGTCGACGTGCTACGCGATGCTGCCAGCCGCTCGACAAGCCATCCGCCGCCCTCCTGGGTTTCAAAGCTTCCCGTTGCACTGAATGGTCCATTGGAAGCCTCGGTAGCTCCGCGAAAGCAATGTATAGCGGTTGCCGCCGGCGTCACGTCTGTACCCATAGTGCACACGCCACCTCCGTGCCCAAACCCAAGCAAACGCGTCGAGACGGCAGCCCTGGCATGCGCCCTGCCAAACAGCCCAAACAAGTCGAGTCGGAACCTCTGGCCGAGCAGGAGATGGTAAGTGGAATCGATTCAGATCCGGGTTTTGAACTGACGGGTCCAACGCTCTCGACGCTCAATGGCCCAGTGCTCCCTGTCCGTCGAGAGCTGTTGCTGAACGCGACGTGGGCCGCTCGCGGCGGTACGTTCTCGCTCGCGCTCCACGCTAAGACGACGACGTATAAGGTCTTTTTGGCCGTGGTTTTCGGCGTTACGCAACCCGATGCGTACTTCGGATACA